GAATTAAGGTATGGTCAAAGGAAAATATTGATCCTCTTAAACTAATCTCATTGTTAGCGTGGGGGCTGAAGACTATGCAGATACAAAGATTAGGATAGAAAGAAGTAAAAGTTTATTTTACTTCCCCACTACCACCACCAAGAGAGAAGGGAAAAGAGCACAGCATGAAAGTGAAGGAAGGAAGGAGTGCTGGCAGGGAGAACAAGCGGCTTGGACTTTTTACTGGGGGTTGCAAAGCAGTGAAGAAAAATTTATTGCTATAGACTGATTAGCAGGAGACAGCTATGAGAGGTTAGGGTGTTTGTTTTTCTCTTTTTTCTTCTTGAGACTCCCTTTACAGTTTCTCCTAAATGTCAAGATGTCTTTTGGCTGGGCTAATGTGTGGTAGACATCTAGGAGGGGGATCTACACTTCCTTTCTGTCTGCTCAGCTCTTTTCAAATGCTGTAAAAACAATCTCTGCAAGCAGTTAATTTTAAAAGATAGCAAGTTAAAGCCTATCAATCTTAAAGACAGCAAGTTACAGTACAGGCCAGGCATCCTCAAACCATGGCCTGAGGGCCACATACGGGTGTTTTTGTCCATTTGTTTTTTTACTTCAAATTAAGATATGTGCAGTGTGCATAGGAATTTGTTCATAGTTTTTTTTTAAACTATAGTCCGGCCCTCCAACGGTCTGAGGGACAGTGAACTGGCCCCCTGTTTAAAAAGTTTGAAGACCCCTGGTCCAGGCAGTTAATCAGACAAGGGACAGTGATCTTTCTCTCCTTTTTTTTTTTTGTTAATTTATTTTTCTCTGTTAGTTTATTAGCAAAGCTGTCCTATCCTTCATTATTTTTTTTATGTGTTAAAATAATTTAATTCTCCCTGTACATTTCTGTCCATATAAGCCAACAGAAATCAATACATACTTTATAATATTTACCTATCCTTCATTATTGTGCCTATTCATACTTGTTCCTTCTGATGCCCCTAATTCCTGTGTCAATTCCATACTTATTGCATATTATCTGTGATGTCTTCATTCTCATACTCTTGCCAAGCTTCTAAAACCCTTCACTTGTATTTTCTGGGATTCCTGTGTATCTACAGCTTCTTTGAACCTTCTCATCACCTTCCTCTAACCAAAGCTAACTCTTACCCAGGGGGGCACTGGTGCCCCTGTAACCCTGTGGGTGATGACTGACAGCCATTGGCAGGACTGGAGGTGAGTTAAGTATTCCTTGCTTCTCATTGCCCCTTCCAGATGATTCTCCCTCAAAAACACCAGCTTTGAGTGTCAAGTATCAGAAAGAGGCTCTCCTACATTCTTCAAATTTTGAGTACCCACCTCACTGTCCCCTCTCCCATACCCCCCATCCTAGTTTGGGAGGGTTTCAGTACTCATGGTAGGTGACTGTTCCAGCACCTGGTCTTTCAGTTCTTCCAGTGGTCCTGTCCTCCACTTCTCACAGTCACTCACTCCCATGGTGCCTGTACCTCATCTACAGTTGTAACCTCACTATGATTTCAATTTTAAGAAAACCCTTTCTGACTACCACCTCCTGTTTTTATAGCTTTAATCCTTAAGTACCCAACTCTAACAACCCTTTAACCCCACCAGGATCTCCAGTCCTTTGGCCGTGTCATTATTCCACTGTCCCTCCATCACTCCTTGTGTCTTCACTCTTTTCTTAACAAGCCTAAAACCCCTGGTCAGTGGTTGTATCCCTCCCAGCAAACACTCCCATCACCTCTGCTCTACTCTTACTTTCTTTTACTTGGCAGAAACACAGTGTGATTAAATCTACCTCTGTCTGTTTCACATCTGCTGTGGTATGGCTGACCCTTTAAAGTAAAAAACACAACAGCATTACTTTGGTCTCACTTTTGATTCCTGACCACATACCTCAGGTGGGGCTTTCCTGTCCATTCTCTCTCCTGGCTGTCCCACACCCACTTGAAGTCTTCCCTTCTTAAACCTCCAGCACCTTCTCCACCATCTTCACTGTAAGCTGATGACTTGCTTCCAAATTCACTGAGAAAATTTACAAACAAAAGAGAACTTCTATACCCACCTTTACCCACCTGCCAACATTTGTAGCCCTAAGTTCTGCCTGTCCTGGTCTGACAATAGATGAATTGTCCCTGCCTAATACTAACTTCCTACCAATCCAGCCCCTGTCACTTGTTACTTGTTCATGAATTCTCCCTGTTCCCCTATTATTAGGGTTTTCTCTCTCTCTTCCCTTCCCTCCTCCCCCTCCTAGATCTTTCCCAATAGCTCATCACATACTGCGGTTTCCCCACCTTAAAAGCTCCCTCTGACCTCACTTCCCCCCGCAGTAGTCCTCTTACAGCAGAAGAACTCTTTATAAGAGAGTTATTGCTGCTCAGTGTTGCTCCTACTTGAAATTGCCCTTCTCTTGCTTCCAGAATACTATGCTATTCCTACCTCACCCCTCATTATCCTTGAGGACCTCAGGACTCAGTTCTTCTGCCACTTCCTGTTAGCCATACCACCCCCTCAGGGATCTCATTGCATATCAGGGCTTAATTATGTTGGTAACTCTCAGATTGTTATCTCAGTGGCAGATTTATCCCCTGAGCTCCGGACTCCTGCAGCCACTACCTCCTCACCATGTAGACTCAGATGTCTAATAAGCATCTCAGAGTTAACATACTCAAAATGAACTCCTAATCTCCAGGGCAAGCAGCTCCTCTCCCTTTTCCACTCACCAAGTAGCACTTCCTTCTTCTGGCTGATGAGACCATCCTCAGTATTATTCCTGATGCTGTTCTGTGCTTACTCCTCCTATAGCCAATCCATTGGCAAGTCCATATTGACTCAATCTTCTAAATTTATTCCTGATGTCAACCTAAAAGAAAAAACGGAGGCAAAATTAATATAAGTAGAGAGTTTATTTGGGCCAAGTTTGAGGACGCCATCCCAGGAGCATTGATTCAAGTTGTCCTGAATATATACTGCGGTTAAGTTTTGCATGCTGCCTGTGTCTGTCACATGTCAATGACTATTGCATCTTAAAGGGCTATATCCCTTGCTTTGACTTCTCTTTGACACATGTCCACTGTTGCCATTACTGTGCCATACTGTAATTGTTGCTTGTTTGTTTTCTCACTGTGCTGTATGCTCCTGGAGGGCGGAGATGTGTCTTGTCAATCCAGCCAGTACCTAAAATACAGTTGACTTTCAGATGAGTTTTGAGTATGTGAATAAGCAAGAAAATGAATCAGTGATGCTAGTAGAGGCTTTGCAACCCTTGTAGTCAAACATCCTCTTCACCAGTTTGATGTTAAGGTAATTTATTTAAGGTATATTCAAGGTCTGTGAGTCTGAGTCTTTACTGATAATTTGCAAGAAATTGCTCATAAAACTATTTCATAACTCAAGATCTGCAAGCTTTCTGCAATTTTTTTTCTTTATGGTTGAATGTTAAATGTTTACAAGAATCTTGAATTATTCTTTGTTTTTTGTTTTGTTTCATTCATTATGTATCAGTTTTGTTATTTGTAAAAATATCTAAACCTTCCACTGGCTGCATCTACAAAGCTGGGACAATCTCATTGTCTTGTTTCTGTATCTAGTACTAATCTTTGCTAAAATAGAAAATTACATTTTAAAATACTAGTATGTATTTTTAAAACCCAACAATCATAGTAAGAGATAAGTGTATAAGTAGTAACATAAAAGCTTTGCAATTTTGTCTTTGTTTTTATAGATGTGCCTTAAAATGTAACAAAAGTTGTCTGTTGTATTGAAATAATTTATTTCTATTTTTCTCTTTCCTCTTCTTGCTTCTTTATAAAGGAGTCAGTCACTGCCAACATAAAGTTAAGAAAGCTAGGCGCTTTCTTCCTTTGGTCTTCTGTTCCCATGAACCTCCTTCCACGGGTATTGCATTCATATTTGCACAGGCTCTCCTATTAACCAAGGCACCCCAAGAAATGGACTAACTAGATGCTTATAGGTTGTCCTATACACATCATAGCTTTATGGAATATTAGTGTATGCACTGTTCATTGTTCAGAAGCAATAACTGAGGGCAAGGTTTTGTGTCTGACAATATTTTAGCTACTCTGTTCAGTAGAAAACTTTATGTTTGCCTGTTTGCTGGTTTTTAAATGCATGACAAGACAAGAAATAGCTTCTCAGTTTCATTTGTGTTGTCTGAGCATTTTCCCTCAGGGGTTGGCAGAACCATGTTTTTTGTATCGTGGATTTCCTAATCTAGCATGCAACTGAATGAAGGTAAATGGTCAAAGCGAACCCCAGTTGTCTGCTTTTCATGCTTTGCGGGCAGAGATACAGGGATGCTGCATAGTAGAGGCAGATATGCCACTTGGACAGTTTTCTAAGAAAGTAAAGATTTATAATAATGGGAATAGTAATTTCTCCAAACGGTTAGGAACAAAATTTGTTGTTCTGTACATATTTAAATGGGAACTTTAATTGTCAGTAGAGCTTCAAGTACTACACCTCCCCATAGTTGATTGTAGTGGGATGGCCTACATCCAGCATGTAATATTTAAGTCCACTGGTACCTCGTAATAGGTACGCTGAGGGCTTAGGTTTATTTCCCTGGTTATCATTTAACATACACATTAATGACTAGTTTGTTTGCATTTTTATCTAAGAGGACACAAATTCCCTTTGAGGGAAATAGAAACCGTTTTTAATACTTAATTTTGTGAGAGGTAATCAAATTAATTTTGCTTGTGATAGAAACCAGTTAGCTGGACGGTACTGCTATGTAACTTTGTGTAAATGTGTTGACAGCTTAAAACTTGGCATAATGCCCTCAAATTCAAGTAAACATACTACTACTATATAGTCTTTCTTTGATCTTTTGAATTGAACCTTGGGGGGAAATTTTTAAATTTTTCTTACACTTTGGTTTACTTGTCATTTTAATAGTGTGTTTTCCCTTCTCTCCCCTCTTCCTTTTTCTCCTTCCCTCTGTTCCCTACTTCCCTTTCTTTGCATGCCACCTGGATCTGCAGATGAAATTAGTGGGGACGGTAATATTTATTTTCACATTTGTGTTACTACTATGAGATAATTATTTATAGAAATAAATACCGTTCAGTATTTGATGAAAGGCAAAATGTGATTTTGATCCAACAGAACCAAGTACAGGATGGTGTGAAAAAAATGATCTCTTAAAAATTGTTTAGGGCTTTAACATGGAAAAGATAACTATCAGTTTCTTTATCACCTCTCAGTGGTTAATTTGAGTTGTCTGTGTTCCTAGTGAATTTTCTAGATTTCAGTATTAAAACCTTAAAGTTCTAGAAAATCACCAAAACGATCATTTAGCAAAAATTGGACATACATGAAAGCTGTAAATGATAGAGATCTATACACTGTATTCCCCAAGTATATATAGTAATTCTTAGTTTAGGAATGTGGTAGTATAAAGGAAAGAATTAAAAGTGATTTTAAAGACTCACACAAGCCGGGCATGGTATCACATGTCTATAGTCCCAGCCATTGGGGAGTCTGAGGCAGGACGATTGCTTGAGCCCAGGAGTTCAAGGCTGTAGTGAACCATGATTGTGCCACTGCACTGCAGCCTGGATGACAGAGCCACCCTGTCTTTTCTTAAATTAAAAAAAAGAAAAGATTTACGCAAGCTAATGTAATTAGGGGAATAGCAACAATAATGATAATGATTGTTTTTCAAATACTTGATAGCACTTTAAATAAAGCTAGAAATTTTAAAGTCACATTTAGTGTCTTATGTTTCCCATTCATTTTGTTTACTGCCTGCATGAAACTTTATACTAAAGGAGTAAGATTTTATAAACTAAAATTAAGAGGGAATTGTATTTTTTTCTCATAATTAAATGAAGGAATGCTTTTACTGAATATTTCACCTTTGTTCATTTTTGTGATAGAATAAAGATACTGATAAACTTGAGTATAATGAGCTGAGCAGTTGCAGTGAAAGATCTTAACTAAATATGACTTTGGAAAAGTGCATGTTCTTCATGAGATTTGAAGCCAGAGATTTGATTTTCATTTTTAGATTTATTCTGTAATAGTAATAAATTAGCAACTACCATTTTTTAAGAGCTGTGTGCAAGCGCTCTCCTGACATGATTCCTGATTCTCACAGCCTCAGTTAGAATATCACTGGGTATTGCCTTTACTGTTTCGCAGATGAGGAAACCCATAATCAGAGGGCTGAGAGAGAGTCCAAGGTCTTAGGCTCCAACCTCACCCTTTTTTTCACTGCCCCATCCTTTTACCAAGTGTTCTCAAGCAAATTGCTTCATCTCTTGTGTCTTTCTGTAACAAGTCTCAAGTGGTTGTTGTGAGGATTACTATGTAAGCATAAAAATTAAAATAAATGTCTGCAAACATGTTCATGTATTTTCCCTGCATTTGAATCTCCTAATATGAATTAGCCAAGGCAAGAATACTTATCCCATTTTATAGATGAATAAGCTGAGCCTTAAGGATTTAATCAGTTGGTCTTTGTCAGGGCTCTTGTGGGCCAAAAATGGGCCACCTGTTTTAATACTGCCCCTTGAGCTAAGAACGATTTTTACATTTTTTAATGGTTGGGGGGAAAATCAAAAGAGGAATACTATTTGTGATGTCAAAATTATATGAAATTCATATTTCAGTTTTATTGGAACATAGTCCTACTCATTTGTTAATAAGTGTCTCTGGCTATTTACAGGCTATAATTTGAATAGCAAAGTTGAGTATTTGTAACAGAGACCATATATCAGCAAAGTCTAAAATATTTGCTGTCTACTCTTTTACAAAAACAGTTTGCCAATTCCTGGTCTAGGATATATGGCTAGTTAATATTTAAGAACGAGTGGGCTCTTCTTGGCTCCTAGAAAAGAACCCTTTCTCTACTGCTTCATGATACCTCTGGAGTTAATGGGACATCTGGGTCATCCAAGTTGGATAAGAAACTGAAATTGGTCTGTTGGATTAGTCTGTTATTAGTCTGTTGAATTACTTAAATAACCTAGTCACAGTAAAGATGTTAGTGTATGGCAGGGGTCCTCAAACTTTTTAAACAGGGGGCCAGTTCACTGTCCCTTAGACCGTTGGAGGGCTGGACTATAGTTTAAAAAAAACTATGAACAAATTCCTATGCACACTGCACATATCTTATTTTGAAGTTAAAAAAACATGGGCAAAAACACCCGCATGTGGCCAGTGGGCCGTATTTTGAGGATGCCTGGTGTATGGGATTAATGACTTCTCAAATTTCCTAACCCCATTGGCTGGGCCCCAGGCCCCTGGGGAGCAGCAGGGAAGCCAGTCAGGGGAAAAAGTTGTTAGAATTGCTAGTATCCAAGCCAGTGCACAGACGCCACCATGAGAGGAAGGAGGAGGTGTAGGGACAGAATGACATTATCTACCTCTTACAGGGGTGCATCAGCAAGTTTTCAGCGCATAAGAAGTTTTTGAGCTTAAAGACTTCTGTGCAATTCCTTTTATGTACAAACCAAGTGATGGTATCCCTTGTCCACTGAGACATACCTCCCACACTCTAAATTGACTCCCTCCACAGTAACCCCAGAAGTATCAGGCTTTTGAAATGACAGGGTATATGCACCTTTAATGGTATCCATGCATGTTGATGTTTTCAGGAGTGACTTTACTGTCTCTTTTTACCTTGCTTTGAAATGAGAACTTGGTGACTTTTCTCTCCTGTTTTCTGAGCTGTCAGTTTCTGTCCTTTTAATATGCCTTCCCATCTTTTTTATTTTACCACATATTGTGATACCAAACCATTCAAATTATAATGTTGTCCAATGTTTTAGAAGTCTCCATTTTTTTTTAATGTTTATTTTTAAATTTTCAACTCATGGGCCAGGCATCCTAAAATTGTCTATTAAGTACACAAGTCCAGGTGAGCCTTCCTATGAGTATCCCTAGAGCAAAACTGTGCCTATGTTGGGCAAAAAATTCTAAAATATCCATAGGGGAACATTTGATAGTTTCCAAGCATAGGGTATTTGGTCTCATAAATAAAAGTCCTGATAAACTTTGTGAAAAATAATAAAAGATAAATCATGGTACTTCAGAGCGCATGCTCTGTGCTAAAGTGCTGTGCTGAATACCAGCCTGACAGTGATTGAGAAAGTTATGTATCTCCTTTGTGCCTCAGTTTCTTGCCTTTGAAGCAGGGGCGCTGATCATACGACTATGGCAAAAAAATTTGCTGAGGATTAAATGACAATGTACATAATTGTTTATAACAGTGCCTAGCATATGGTAAGCTCTCAGTAATATTAGTTGTCATCATTTTTATTAAACAGAGAATGCAAATCTAGCTTTCTTTATTTGTGCACAGGTCTTTGAACCTGTCTACTTTTTTTTTTTTTAATATTTTCCTTCTATGTTACTATTATATGGGGGGCCCAGGCAGTTTTAGGCTGGACTCCAGTTTTTCAGGGCCCTCGAATGTGTAAAAATACCTATCATGTCAGTGTCATACTATTCTATAATCCAAAAAGCCAGAAAAGAAAAACAAAATATAACTGAACCAATCTCAAGAATTCTTAGAGAGAAATATGTCAAGTATTAACACTTGAAAACTCCTGTGTGGGAGTTTACAAACTTTTGCAGATCCGTGTACTTTCAACAGTTTTGACTCTACTCCATTCTCTGTTCACATTGCATCATAGTACACAAGTCACTCCAGGTATCATAAGTAATTCCCAGATTGTTTTGATACATCCTCAGAGGTTTTATATAAAATTCACGTAGCTTCATAAAAAATGCTTGTGGTTGTATGGATTAATTGAAATGTATGCAACATGATTTTTTCCACATCACTGTTATATGCTAGCCTGATATATATTAGCTAATTTATTTTTACTCCTTCAGAATTAGATTACATGCAGGACCACATCTTAACTTTAAATGTGTTGCCTATAATCCTCATAACACTCCTACAAGGGTTGATGTTCTCATTTCACACATGAGGGCACAATGAAAGCATAGCCAGATGAAGTGACTTTCCTAAGATCAAGCAGGTTACCCCAAATGTGTGATGTGTACCTTGACCTGTGTATTGCAGCTCTACCATTTACTCTCTGTGCTGCCTCGCACAGGTTACATAGCTCTTTTGCCTCAGTTTCCCGAGGGTACGTATTACTGTAGTATGTTCATTCTTGTTTAGCATGTTGTTTAGAAGTCTTGAGGACTTCTGTATCCCAAGCATTATTTTGGATACTGAGGACATAATGGTGAATAAGATACATGAGGATTCTGCTCCAGTGAATGCCCCTATCTGGAGAGGTGGGAAGACAGTGAACAAGGAAGCAAAATAATGCCAGGGATTTATAGGTAATGAGGAAAATAAGTCAGGAAACATGATTCAGGGCAATGGGGTGCGGCAGAGTAGTTTGAGGAGAGACCTCTGAATAGCTGATACTTTGGCTAAAACCAGAATTGGCTCTGAACCAACATGAGCTTTAGCCAGGGTAAGCCTGGTGGAGGTCCCTGCCATGGCTGTCATCCATAGTTTTATGTCTTCATTCAGGTGGTAGACACTTGTTACCTGAGAGACCCGGGTTTCTGGACAGGCTTACAGTGATCCTTTGCAGCCATGTGAGGCTGTGATGCCTGTGATATTGACAAGTTCAGATGATCTGCTTAATAATGCTAAGAACCGAGTACAGGGTTGTGAAGATTTTGAGTAGTTTGGGTAACGGCAGCAGGGGAGGGAGTCTGAGTGGCTCCTCCCCCCCCCACAAAAATCCCACCACAGCAGGGCCAGCCATGTGCTTTACCTAAAAGGCACGTGCTTTATATGACAGGAAACAGTAAGGGCTCTGGGGAAATGCAGCCTTAGTTGCATTAGTTTCCTTAGCAGAGTATCATAAAGTTGAGCCTGTTAAGTTATGGAATAAAAAGAGCAAATGATTAGCAAATGGCCATCTGTGTGATTTGTGTTGTTTTCCTTGTCTTAGCTGTTAGAGTAGATTCCTTCTCCACTTAGTCCTTTTTGTTACAAGTGTTTTAGCAACTCCCTTCTATCCCAAATTTTCTTCCACAAGGTCTTTTTATAAGCCATCTTACACAAAAGGAAAGCTATAGTCCTACACAATGCCAGTTTGGTGTTCCTAGTATTCACTGAGAACAGGATAAGAGGGAGAAATACACAAATAAAAGAATGTAAAGTTTTTATAAATCCTGTAAATATTATTATTTATAAACATGTAAGAATAATATATAGCCAGGAATGGTGGCATGTGTCTTTAGTCCCAGCTACTCAAGAGGCTAAGGTGAAAGGATTGCTTGTGCACAGGAGTTTGAGTCCAGCCTGGACAACATAGCAAGACCCCATGTCTTTTGTAAGAAGAAAGAAAGAATAATATAGATTATCTACCTATCATAGAGGACTTAGGAATAATTCATATATGACAAATGTCTTAAGGAGAATTGATTTATTGGTGTTACATTTTGCCAGCGAGGTTTTTTTTTTTTTCCTTTAATCACTTTTAATGATGATTATACATTAAGAAGTAAATTCTTACGGAACACAATGGCTTGTACCTATAATCCTAACACTTTGAGAGACTGAGGCAGCAAGATCACTGAGGCCAGGAATTCGAGACCAGCCTGACCATCATAGCAAGACCCTGTCTCTACAAAAATAATTTTTAAATTAGGTGTGGTGGGCAGGTGTCTTTAGTCTCAGCTACTCAGGAGGCTGAGGCAAGAGGATCACTTGAGCCCAGGAGTTTGAGGTTGCAGTGAGCTATGACGACACCACTACACTCTAGCCCAAACAACAGAGAGAGACCCTGTTTCAAAATTAAATAAAGGAGAAAGTTCTGATTATGCTGTTGAGTTGAACTATTAATAAAATCAGATACAGTGTTTTAGAAATACCAGTCTTGTTTAGAAAAATCCCAGAAGACAACAGTGTGCTTTTAAACACATATCTGGTATAGTTGAGGGAGAGCTTTGCAATCAGTACAGATTGGTTAATTTGAATATATACATCTGCAGTCTCCAACCTCTGGGCCACAGACCAGTACCAATCCATAGCCTGTTAGGAACTGGGCCACACAGTAGAAGGTGAGCTGCAGGTGAGCAATCAACGCTTCATCTGTATTTACAGCTTCATCTCATATCACCGCCTCAGCTCTGCCTCCTGTCAAATCAGTGTCGGCATTAGATTCTTACAAGGAGCTTGCAACCTAGATCCTTCATGTATGCAGTTTACATAGGATTCCCTTTTCTCTGAGAATCCAATATCTGATGATCTGAGGTAGAGCTGAGGTAGTGACACTAGTGCTGGGGAGCAACTACAAATACAGATTATCATTAGCAGAGAGATTTGACCGCACAATAAATGTAATGCACTTGAATCATCCCCAAACCATCCCCCTTTTCCCATCCCCCCAGGCCATGGAAAAATGGTCTTCCGTGAAACCAGTCCCTGGTGCCAAAAAGGTTGGGGACTGCTGAATACATAGTTGTCTCATATCTGTCATATCTGTCTTTTTTTTTTTTTAAAGAGCCCTTCTGTGTTGGCCCTATTTTCTCTCTGATAAACAAGTCTGTGTATTATAACATAGTACATAGTAGATAATGATGTCACTTTTATTTCCATAATGACTCATGTATGAGCAAAATTTGAGTAATAGTGTTTTAAGAATATGTCAGCATAGTAGGCGATTTAGGCAGATGATTTTGCTTTGTCAAATTACATTAAAGGCTAGGAGGTCAAATATTTAACTTCTTCAAACATATCTGTTTTCATTTCAACAGAAACAGATGATTATGCTGAGATTATAGATGAAGAAGATACTTACACGATGCCCTCAAGTAAGTAGACTTCTGATTTGGTCTTGCTAAGGTTTGACAGATATCTCTTCATATTTAAAAATTTTTGATATTTATTGTCCCTTAGAACTATTTTTAATACCTCATTGGGTACTAAACAGAAGTATTCTTTCAGCCTTTAGAATGCAATATTATATGTGCCCACCCTGAGGTCAGAAGCCTAAAACTCAAATTATCTATAATCAGTTTAATTACATGATTTTTGTAATCTTGTTTTCTGGCTCTATGATAATAGAACCTTTATTGATTAGAGTATTTTCTCTTTGTAGCAAATAAGTATTATTTAAATATGTGTGTGTATGTATGTGTGTGTGTGTGTGTATATATATATATACATATATATATATATATATATATACAGATGTATATATACATACACACCCAAAGATTTGCATTTCCCCCTCGAAATTGTTTATTCTTTATTGCCATTGGCTGACTAAAATGAATAGCTTCTAGCCTTCATTCCATATACCTCCAGGGGGATGTGGGGAGAGAGACTGAACTCTTAAATGACATTCATACAGCCTAGAAATGTCAAGATTCTTCTTCTCTGTGTGATGTGCAGCTTGTTGATTGAGGAAAATATGGAAGCCCCAAAGCCCCAGATCTCATGTTAAATTATATAGTCCCCAGATCTTGAATTGGATAAGCCCTTGACATTTCATTTGCATAAAATAGTGTAAACTTACCTCTTAAAGAGGCCTCAGAAGCCTTAGTAAATCAGAATCTGGATGGTCTGAATTCAACAGAGGTGTACATGTTTATAAAATAAATGTTTCAGGTAATTTGTTCTATTGTGTGAATATTTTAAAAGATGCTTTCCTTTGGATTTTCTGCATACTTTGAGGAGGCACTACCAAAATAAAGAGAAACAACCTAGCCTTCTCAGGCATACATCATTCTGGGTGGGCCTGTGTCCCCTTTCAAGAGCTCCTGTATTAGAGAGTGAATGGAAACAGAGGCAAGAACTAAAACTTAAGTATATACATTTTGACTACCAGTATCAATTTGGAAAAATATTTAAACTTATTTGATTAGCCATGCAGTCATTCGTACATTTCTGCAGAGAATCCAAATTTTTATTTATTTTATTTATATTTATTTGTATGTTTTGTATTTATAGTTGAGTAGTAAATGTCCAACATGGCTGACTTTTATCCAGACCCCACAAAAGGAAGCTATTATATAGGAATTTGTAATATAAGAATTTAAAAGCATTGCGTAAATAACATTGAGTTAACTTGAGGTTATTTAGTTTTTACTTGCTTTTAGTTCTCTTATATTTGTGCTTAAAATATTTTAAAAATGGAATGTTATTGAAATGTACTCTCCAAGTTTGTGTTATTAACCTCATTGCTGTTAGTTATTTCTAAGCAAGGTCTTCAATTTTTTTCTCTCTTAATTGCAATACAGAATGCTATGGAATAGATGAAGGTAACAGGATTCCTTTAAAATAACTGCATTTACTTGCAATTGCAACCTATAGAGTGATATATGGGATATTTCAGTTTTCAGTTAACTTTTAAAACTATTTGTCATTGGTTTACTCATACTGTTAAATCAATGGAACTACTAGCTAAAGTGATTTTAAAGAGGAAAATAACTATCTAAATTTTGGGTTGAATATTCTATATGATTTATAATTTGATAAACCAAGGAAAACATTTAAAATATTTGGCTCTTGGTTTATTACATTGGTGACTACACTGATGGAATATATATAACCATGGAGAGTTTCTTAATTGAAATAAATCAAAATACCAATTAGTTAACTAAATTAGAATTCAGTCTATTATGTTGCTAGTAGGTATTTTCTTTCCATGTTCCTGAACAGCTTACTAAATAATTGATTTTGTATAAATCACAATTTAACAAATGAATTTGAGGCACATGCTCTCAAAAGTATAAAGTACTCATAATTTATTATGCTCACATGTTAAACCTTGATTCCAAGTCATCTAATTTTGAAATTAATTTTTAGAAACAACCTCTTTAAAATCTTTTAGCATCATGAATAATATAGAGATAGGATTGTAATGAAGTGGAAAACTCTTAAACATTCAAAACATAAAGTTTACTTATGACACAACTTTATATTGCCTACATATTTGCAAACTTCAGTTATTTATAAAATAATTGCTTTAAATAACTGTTTTTATAGCCTTCATATATTAATACCTAAACTAATAGCTCTTATTAATTAAGCATATAATTTAATACTTGGAGCAATTATTTAAGAAACTAAAATCAGATATTCAAAAACTAGGAACAGCATGAAAAAACTACTTTTTATAGAACTCATTGTTTTGGTAATTCATTCAATACCCTAATACATAAATTACTGATAAAATATTGTTTAAGAGAATTCCATTCTGTTTAAAGCATTTTCATAGATCAATATGCCACAGATGAAATTTTTACTTATGGATGATAATGAAATATGTCCATTGTTAATTCTACATTTTGAATATTGTACTGAAGTATTTAGTGGTGTGTGGATCATGTTTTGCAGCCAGGGATTATGAGATTCAAAGAGAAAGAATAGAACTTGGACGATGTATTGGAGAAGGCCAGTTTGGAGATGTACATCAAGGCATTTATATGAGTCCGGTAAGTCCTTTAAGACTACCAAAACTCTAGACTAATTTTGACTATTAAAATTTAAATTGCCTCTTGTTTGTCTTCATGAGTCCTTAGTTCTAGGTATTTACAGTAGCTTTTATAAAGCTCATTATACATGTCAGCTTATTTGGTATATTTAGAAACCAAAAAAAATGGGAACGTTAGCTCCTACAGGGCTGGGTCTGTCTTTTATTCATTTTAATCTTTCAGTTTTTGTCATCAGTAATAAATTCCATATGTGACTGTTGCATTGGATGGAACTGACAGATTGGATGGCCAGAGTCAAAAATAGCCAATATTCTACATACCTATGTTTTCAAGAAAATAATACTAATTTGCCCCAATTTACCCTATGAAAGAAATGAATGAATTTTTAAATGTATTTTTCTTGTAAAAGCTTAGTGAAGATATTTTCATATTATAAAATTCACTTTTTTTTTTTTGAGACAGAGTCTCCCTCTGTTACCCCAGCTAATAGAGCAGTGACAGCACCCTTGTTCACAGTAACCTCAAACTCCTAGGTTCAAGTGATCCTCCTGTCTCATCCTTCTGAGTAGCTGGGACTATAGGCATGCATCACCATTCCTGGCTAATTTTTTCTATTTTTTGTCTTGCTCAGGCTGGTCTCAAACTCCTGACATCAAGCAATCCTCCTGCCTTAGCCTCACAGAGTGCTAGGATTATAAGCATAAGCCACTGTGCCAGACCTAAAATCACTCTTTTAAAGTGTACAATTCAGTGCTTTTTAGTGTATTCACAGAGTTGTACGACCATTACCACAGTCAATTTTAGAACATTTTCTTCATCTCAGAAATAAACCTTATATCTATTAGCAGTCATTTCCTATTCCACCCTTCCCCCAGCCTCTGACAACCACTCATCTACTTTCTGTCTCTGTTGATTTGCCTATTCGGGACATTTCATATAAGTGAATCATGCAATATGTGGTTTTTTTGTGATTGACTTTTTTTACTTAGCATAAGGTTTTGAAGGTTCATCCATGTTGCACATCTGTCATTACTTCACTTTTATTGCTAAATAATATTTTTTTGTATAAATGCATACCACCTTTTGTTTATCCTTTCATCAGTTGATAGATATTTGGGTTGTTTCTACTTTTTGACTATTAAAATGCTTCTGTGAGCATCCATATACAAGTTTTTAGGTGGACATGTGTTTTTGATTCTCTTTTGTGTATACCCAGTAGTAGAATCGCTTCATTATATGGTAACTATTGTTTAACTTTTTGATGAACTGCCAAACTGATTTCCAGTGAAGCTGTACCATTTTCTGTTCTTAGCAGCAATGTGTAAGAGAGATTATCTCCACATCTTCACCAACACCTGTTATTGTATGTCTTTTTTTATTAGATTGATGATTTTAAAATACCATTTTAGAATAATAGTATAATCATGTGTTGCTTAACAAGGGAGATACATTCTTAGAAAATGTGTCATTAGGCAATTCATTGTGTGTGAATGTTGCAGGGTGTATTTACACAAACCTAGGTGGTATAGCCTACTACACACCTAGACTATATAGTATAGCCTATTGCTCCTAGCCTACAAACTTGCACAGCACATTACTGTACTGAATATTATAGGCATTTTTAAGACAATGGTATGTGTATATCTACACATATCTATGTATAGAAAAGATGGTGGTTCATGCCTATAATCCTAGCACTGGGAGGCCAAGGTGGGAGGATCGCTCAAGGTCAGGAATTCAAGACTAGCCTGAGCAAGAGCAAGACCCCATCTCTACTAAAAATAGAAAGAAATTAGCTGGACAACTAAAAATATATAGAAAAAATTAGCTAGGTGTGGTGGTGCATACCTGTAGGCCCAGCTACTCAGGAGACTTAGGCAGGAGGATCACTTGAGTCCAGGAGTTTGAGGTTGCTGTGAGCTAGGCTGATGCCATGGCACTCTGGCCTGGGCAACAGTAACACTCTGGAGCTGTCTTCTCTTATGATTACTGTGCAACCTTCTGGACACCTTCTGAAGGGTCTGCCTGAGGCTGCTTTACAGTTAGCTCTTCGTTTTTTTTATAAGTAGAAGTAGTACACTCTACCGATAAAAACCAGTAACATAATCATCTATTATCATTATCAAGTATTATTTGCTGTACATAATTGTGTGCTGTATTTTTATATGACTGGCAGCATAGTATGCATTACTACAGACACATGAGTAGTGTAACAGCTACGATGTCACTAAGCAATAGGAATTTTTTACCTCCATTATAATCTTACAAGACCACCATAGTATATGTGGTCCATCATTTACCAAAACATTGTTATGCGTGATTATGCATACTTGCTCAAGAAACTGTTTTTAAACTTGCATAATAACAACAGGTGTACAGACATGGCTCTAATAAAGTTATAATAACACAGATAATTGATCCTTTTTTTAAAAAATGGCCCTATTCTGGAAACTGCAAATGGCATTTTTTCCTCAGTAACTCTTTGGCCATCAATTTTTATATCCTTTACATATACACAGTGACACACTGAGGATTACTTTTATAACCAAGAGTTATTAAAGTTTTTTTTTTATCAGAGACAACAGATAATTGTCACCAATCAGCTAAGTGAATTAGAAGTTCAGTTTTTTAATGTTCAGTTTTGAGAACCTATATTTTTAGCTGTCTGGATCCGTTTTCAATTCTTTTTTTTTTCCCTGCACCTTTTGTTTATATTCCTCATTCTCTTAACTGTGCTCTTTGAGGCAAGATGCAATAGAAAGAGCACTGGGTGTAAATTTAGTGAAAAGATCTAAATTTAGAGCTGGCTCTGCCTCACTATGAAATGTGGGGAGGTGAGGCTTTTTGACCCTGAATTATTGGAATTGAACTACATGATCTCCAGGCTTCCTTCTATCTCTAAAATTCTTGATACATAAGCATTCTAAAGTTCCTAGCATACAATGACTTCCCAGGTCACACAGCTAATAGCTGGGTTGGTGGACTTTATGTCATTTACTTTTTAAATAAGTAATCCATTTAATCCATCAAATACAAGAGAAGTTTTTTTTAAATATCCATAGTCTTGTGTTGACTGAATATTTGTTGAATGAATCCCAACTCCCAGGGATTCCATTTTGTTGAACATATTTCTCATGTATGTTGTATTAATATACGTGTATTTGTTTTTCATGCAGCCATCTAATTTTATAGCGCAAAGCAATCTTTTCTCTAGGTTCCTATTATGAGTCTTTTTTTCAAGATTATGCTCATTAGAGTTCTGTAAAATCAAGTACTATTTGAAAAATTGGGCAGAATGTAACTCATGAGTTTCATGAGCAAAAGACCTACCATTGTTTACTTTACTTGAGATTCAGTTAATTCTTTCTGCAATTATTTATCAATCATCTGTGTGATATCTGCTGTCTAGATGGTAGGGATATCACAATGGAGAAAACAGGCGAAGTTCCTGCTCTTATAGAACTTAAATTCTACCGGAGGCACAAGAGGTCAGGCAAAAACAAATACACCAAATACGATAAGAGGAGTGAGTGCTCTGAGAAAAACAGTGCATGGGCACGAGAAGGTCAGGGTGCTCTTCCACGTGGGGTGGTCAGACAGACCTGACAAGGTGATGTATTAGCAGAGCTTTGAAGCAAGGCAGGGAGCAGACTGTGAGCACCTCTGTGGGGAAGCATGTTCTAGGCAGAGGGAACAGCCAGTGCGAAGTTCTGGGGTAGGACCAGACATTGCTAGGAAGCCAGTGTGGCTGCAAAGTAGTGGGTGGAGAGGAAAGCTGAAAGAAAGAAGGCCAGGAAGCATGAAGGCCACCAGCAGGCATGTGTGGGGCCTTGTAGGCATTGGGGTATGACCTTTGACCTTCATATGATAGGTAAGTTGGATATATGAATTTCAGGGCTCAAAGAAAAAAATCAAGACTAGAAATAGAATTTCAAAGTCAATATGTAAGTGGTACTTGAGACCTTTAGCACTAGATGAGATAACTTAGAGTGTTGAACACCTTACAAAAATATACAGCATGAAATAAGGTGAAATAACATGAAAATAAGATAATTCTAGCAGAGATAAAGCCAAGGACAAAATAAGCACATACAGTTTGCTATCCAGAATCATCATCCACAGTATTCTCTTGGTTTGCTTGAAATGGCCTCTTATTCCTGGTATTTCTTGAGCTCTGTCTTTTGAACTTGTTTAAGAAGAGATAAAATTTTTGGCTTCTAAGGCAATACATTTTTTTTCTCTGTCTTGCTGGTCATCCCATCTTAGTTCCTTGGCTGTTTTCTACTTTCCTCCCTGACCTCTTCCCATTGTAGACCTCCAAAGTACAGTCCTTGGACCTCTGCCTCCCTTGGTAATATCATCATGGACTACTTCCATATCTTTGTGTCCAGCTCAGACTTCTCTCTGGAGTTCTAGTCACAATATCCTGCTGCCCACTTCATTTGTGTGACCTCACTGTCTTACTGACATCTCACGCTTGTCTCCTCCAAACCTAAACCTCTGATCTTCTCCTCCTTCTTGCCAATTTCTATGGCCAAAAATATATACTAGACACTCTCACACCCAGTTCATCAGGAGCTACCTTTGCCCTACCTTCAGAGTATATCTGTAATCTCAGCCCTTCTACCTTTCACCACTGCTACCATATTTGTCTTTGCCACCATCATCTGTCACTTGGGTTACTGCGGTAGCCACCTGCTGAGCTCCCTGTGCTTAACCTCGCCTCCCTACATCCACTTCTCAATACTACAGCAGAGTGCTCCTTCTAAACTTTAGGTCAGGCCATGGTACTCCTGCCCAGACCTTGGCTCTTCATTTCACTCAGTGTAAAAGCCGCATTGCTATATTGGCCTAGAAAAGATGCCACATGGTCTGGCCTCTCCATTCCTTTCTCTCATCTCCTCCCCCTTCCCCTTACCTCTTTCCTCCCTCCTCCCTTTCCTCTCTCCCCTCCTTCCTCCTTCCTCCCCCTCCTCTCCCCATCACACCTACCTCCTTCTTCCCGCCTCCACCTTCTGCTCCACATTGGCTGGCCTGGCTGGCCTGTTCCTCAAGCACACCATGCACACTTTTCCCTGCTGTTCCTTGGCCATGAGCGACTTCCCCCACTCAGCTGCTTGGCTGGCTCCCTCTCCTCCTTCAGTTCTTTGCTGTCATCTCTTCTCCTCAGTGAAGGGCTACCTTACACAGTAGCCACCACCCCTGTTGCCCATTTCCTGATCCAGTCTCCCTTTTCACTGTCACCTTCTAACATACTGTGTCATTGACTCACAGTATTTACTGTCCTTGTTCTTCACTGGCATATAAGCTTGACAAGAGCAGAGACTGTTGCCTCTATTGCTCACTGGTATAACCCAAGCACCTAGATTAGTGCCTGCCACATAGCAGATAATCAGTAAACATTTGTGGATAAATGGATAAATGAATTGCCTGCAACATTTCACATGCATGTTGGTTTTTCTCAGGGGATTTTATACAGAGTATTTTTATTTTAAGTTTTCTCTCATTCTTAAGATTTTACATTGCTGATTCTATCTGGTCCATTATCCACATAGTTGCAAAACAAACAGCTTTTCATGAATGTGCCCATAGAATAATATAGTGAACCTTATTTAGCATGTGTGTGTGATTCTATAATTTCCCTAATACAGGAGAATCCAGCTTTGGCGGTTGCAATTAAAACATGTAAAAACTGTACTTCGGACAGCGTGAGAGAGAAATTCCTTCAAGAAGCCTGTAAGTCTCTAGAAATTTCTGTGGAACTCTATTTGACTTTCTATCTGTGAAATCCAAACTGTTTCTAAAGAAGAAAAATGTTTTGACTTTTATGAAACAACTATTATATGTTTATTATATTGCTCTGCAAATTATTCTAAATTTGCACAGGAACCTATTTACAGATAGACTGATTTACTTTCCCTTTATACTTTGGTACCTATACCATTAAATATGTTTGCACTGGAATTGGTGCAAATGTGTAAATGATCCTAGTGCAGATACTGCCAGGCCCTGGGGAATACAGAGGTGAATGAGACAAACACAGTCCCTGCCCTCATCGGCCTCTCACAGACTAATGAAGGAGTAAGAATTGTGACCAGTCCCTAGTCCTACAAAATCAAAAAGGAACCTAAAAGGAGAGCCTTCTGCTGGCTTCCCAAGATATCATCAGATATCTTGTCAGATTAAGTTCACTGCTTAAGTATACTATGATATTTTTGGATAAACAGGCACCCAGTGTATTTATTACAGTTGTGTTTTTAATGTACTATAAGTGATTATTTACTATCACTTTTGGTTTTATATTACCCTCATATGTAATTATCAAGACTTTAATATTTCCTCTGAAGTAATTACTGAAAATATAATAGCACAAGGAAGAGAGGTGAGTCTTGTGGTCATTAGAAAACCCTGTCCACACTTTTTTAGTTTTTTTAATTGAACTAAAAAATCAATAGGAGGCCGGGCATGGTGGCTCAAACCTGTAATCCTGTTACTCTGGGAGGCTGAGGCGGGAGTATTGCTTGAGGTCAGGAGTTCAAGACCAACCTGAGCAAGAGCAAAACCCCATCTCTACTAAAAATAGAAAGAAATTAGCCGAACAACTAAAAATATATAGAAAAAATTAGCCGGGCATGGTGGTACATACCTGTAGTCCTAGCTACTCGGGAGACTGAGGCAGGAGGATCGCTTGAGCCCAGGAGTTTGAGGTTGCTATGAGCTAGGCTGATGCCATGGTACTCTTGCCCGGGCAACAGAGCAAGACTCTGTCTCAAAATTTAAAAAATCAATAGGTAAAGTAGTATAACCTGTTGTTTCCCATCTGGGGGCAGTACACTAAGGCCCAAGGGCTGTCACCTGCTTTCTTAAGTAGTTTTACTGGAACACATTCTTGCTCATTCCTTCATGTGTCACTGTCTGTGCATGTTTCTGCAGCACAGTAGCAGAGCTGAAAAGTTGGGACAGAAACTATATGGCCTTCAGAGCCTAAAATATTTACTTTATGGCCCTTTATAGAGAAAGATTAACAATCCCCGATCTAGGTCATACTTCCTCTCTTATGTATCTAACCTGTTAAAGCCCTACAGAAGTTTAGATATACTACATCTGTCACATTTCCCTGAACAACAGCTGAGTAACCCTTTCAAAGAACAAAACATTAGTTTTCCAAGTGAAACATTTGTTATCCCAAGTGAAAAACATTAGTTATCCCAAGTGAAAGTGAGGTGACTTTGCAAGAAACTAATGTGATTTTTGGGTGTGTTGATAGGATATGTGGTACCCAGAATAAGAGCCGTGAGGGACCCTGTCTGCTTCAGGCTTATCCAGCTCTGATTACATTTCCACAGTGGGCTCCAAACTTTGGATGCACATAACGTAGGTCTCCATCAGTGGAGAGTGACTTCAGTTGTGAAGGAGCTTGAAAGCATATCATTTAATACATAGTTGAAGTTGTACAAGGAATAAGGACTTTTTTTTGCCGGGTGGGGTGGCTCATGCCTGTAATCCTAGCATTCTGGGAGGCCAAGATGGGAGGAACAATTGAGGTCAGGAGTTTGAGACCAGCATGAGCAAGAACGAGACCCCATCTCTACTAAAATAGAAAAAATTAGCTGCACGTGGTGGCACATGCCTGTAGTCCCAGCCACTCAGGAGGCTGAGGCAGGAGGATCACTTGAGCCCAGGAGTTTTAGGTTGCTGTGAGCTAGGCTGACGCAATGGCACTCTAGCCCAGGTGACAGAGAAAGACTCTGTCTTAAAAAAACAAAAATATGGACTTTTTCCTATCAGGAACTAATTGTCTTTAGGGCTCTGAAAGCCACCAGTTGCATAAAAGGGGACAAAGCCACGGTGAATGCAGGAACCACTTTTGCCCAAGATAGAAATTCTTTGTCATAGCCCCATGGATGTGTCTTTCAGGGTCCTGCAGGGAACAGGCCCATTTATCATAGTCTCCACACTCAAGGAAGCTCCTAGCTATGGCTTCCTACCAGGTATTTATAGTCCCATTCGGCCACCACCTCCAGCAGTTTACCAGTCGAGTGATTTTTGCCCTAGTGTTGCCTAGTATATACACATTCAAACTTTATCAGATTTTCAGAGGAAAACCAAGAAGGTTAGTCCAACGTCAGATTTGTCCATAGGAAAAAAGAAACGGTTTTCTTTACTCTTTATTCACAATATATTTTCCCCTGAAAAATAGCTAATGAGTTTACTGCAATGATTATCTTATGCCGCAGTGACAGGATTTTCCTTTTTGTGCCAATTTATGCCTACTTGTAAGCTGAACTGACTTAGGGAATTGAGTTTACAGTTCCCATATGCCAACCTTGTGTCTTAATTGAACTAATCTTCAGAAAAACTGGATGTTTTCCAAAAAAATAACTGTGAACAACTTACTTCCCTAGTAACAATGCGTCAGTTTGACCACCCTCATATTGTAAAGCTGATTGGAGTCATCACAGAGAACCCCGTCTGGATAATCATGGAGCTGTGCACACTTGGAGAGGTACTGTGATCCCCATATTTTACTTTGTGTCTGGTCACAATGACTAAATAGTACTCTTATGCTTCATAACCATTTAGTCTGCATGCAGTGTTTGATGTCTTTTGCTTAAGAAAGGAAAGTAGTATACAGTTTGTATCTTGGATTTTCAGACAAATTCTGATCTAAGGTGTATGTTGTTCTGGTTTTGATTCAGAGAATACAGGTATAAATATCTTCATTAAAGTCCCAAATAATTCCTTCAAACAATACTGGTAGCAGTATTTTCCCCAGCCAAATGGTGTATCAGGACTAGTAGCAACACGTGACCAAGTGGTTCTTTTTTTTTCTCTCTGATGCCATTGCCTAAAGAGCTGGCCTGATGATTTGAGGATGAAAGAAGTAATGTTAATGGAGTTTGGGTAAATTAATGTTGAAAATCTAAATCTAAATGCTGTAAATCTAAAACATTTCCTTAATCTTTTTGAGAATTCACTTTGCAATGTATTTTAGACCAACTGATATTACTCATAGTTTCTTTAACACATTAACTGCCATGTGAGTTGCATTTAGCTCATGCTAGTTTTGAGCCCAGGGCCTCATGAGATGTATTTAACTCACATCTCTTTACTTTGGGAGCCACGTGAACTATTTTTCAAGTTGCATATAACTTACAGAAAACAATAAAATAATAAATTTTTTCATTAAATTAGAAAGGATCATTTTGTTTTTGAAGTTCTCTATTTTCATAAACATTGCAGCCCCAAGGAAAAAATATTTTTTTCTAGTGTGTTAGTCAGTGTGTTAAAAATGTAAGTAACAAAAGCTGGGTGCAGTGGCTCACACCTGTAATCCCAGTAAGCTGGGAGGCAAAGGTGAGAGGATTGCTTGAGCCCAGGAGTTCAAGACTGCAGTGAGCTATGATCATGCCACCACACTCCAGCCTGAGCAACAGAGCAAGACCTCATGTCTTAAACAAAAAAAGAAAAAGAAGAAATGTAACAGAGTGAGAACAGCTCTCTTTGACTATCTCCAGAATATAGAAACTCTTTAATCAGTGCATCACCATCAGCAATCACCTGGAACCTTGTTAGAAATGCAAAGTTTCATTCCCCATACTGGGCCTGCTGAATCAGACACTCTAGGCTGGGCACATGGAGGCCAGCCAGCACTGTTTTTTTTTTTAATCAGTTAAACATCTCTTCTTCCTCTGCCCTACATTTCCAAATTAAATGAATTATTTCTGTATATTTTTTGTTCACAGTATTTTTCTACTTTTGCTTTAGGAGAGTTTGCTAATTCTTCTGGCTTAAAAATTATTGCTAAATGTTTTTCATTTATTTATAGAATTAAGGTATTAAATTTATCTGCCTTTTTTTGTCATGTTAGCATTTAGCTGAAATAACAGTGTCAGTGAAAGTCACAACTAGTAAGCCCAGTGGACTAAATACACAACATGTTACCATCTTGCCCTTTTGTATCCTAGACTTCATGCAGGAGGAAGAGAGGGAGGATTTCTTCTGTCTATCCCTTCTCCTCATTATGTTATCCTCACACCTTCCCAAAGACACAATAAGGTTTGAAGTGGAGGTACATTGGGCTTGTTACAAAATAACGAGATCTTTTTGTCCTCCAACTTTTATTAATTTGCAATAATTTATAGTGTGCTTTTATTACTTCCCTTGACATGTATCTTTCTATATATTTTTAGGAATTTGTCTATAGTCAAAAACATTTTAATTTTAAAATAGGATTTCAAATAAAGAATGATTAACTGTAATTCCTGAGTTAAAATGTTTAATTTGTGACACTTTCTTTTATTAAGGGAGAATTGGAGCCATTTTCATGTTATTAAAAAGACGTTTGGAAATGGTTAGCATTGTCATTGAATGTAGCTTTTTTGTTACTGATTTGTATTTTCTTTTAACTAATTCTTTTTCTTTTTTATCTTGGCCACTGTTCCAAAAGCTGAGGTCATTTTTGCAAGTAAGGAAATACAGTTTGGATCTAGCATCTTTGATCCTGTATGCCTATCAGCTTAGTACAGCTCTTGCGTATCTAGAGAGCAAAAGATTTGTACACAGGTAAGATATAGTCATAAAGCTGATAAGTTGCCCCCTGAGCGGGGGTAGTTATGTTCTATAAGACTGAACTGCCATAGCATTTTAATACACATAGTTAAAGGATTTTTCCACATGTGGAGTTTGAAACATGTTGTGATACTCTCGGGTCATTTATTTTTTATACACATACTGTTGAGAGCCTGTAGTTGGCACTGGAGCAGTGAACATGTGGAAATGACCCCTAATATAGATACTGTCCAGGACTTTCCAGGATACCAGTCTTAAGAGTGACGTCTGTTGACATGCTGTGGAATTTCTATTAATATCTACAGCCCAAGTCTCTGAGTGCAAGTGAAAGCCCTTACACTTTATTTGCCAAATATTATATTAGAGTTAGTGTTTTGTTAGCCCATGTTAAACTACATTTAAAAAAGAGGAAATAGGCTGGGCGTGGTGGCTCACACCTGTAATCCTAGCACACTGTGAGACCGAGGTGGGAGGACTGCTTGAGGCCAGGAGTTTGAGGTTGCAATGAGCTTTGCTGATGCCACGACACTCTAGCCTGGGCATCTGTCTGAGGGTGGAGGGAGAAGAGGAAATAAACAAAAACTATACCTCTTAAAACAAAGAAATAGAAAATCACATTAACAAAATCTTTTACAAGTGTTCAGAAGATAACTTTTATTAATGAGATCTCTTTAGTGATTGTAAGGTTACAGATTCTGGTTGTGTTTCGGTATCAGTTAATACAGTTGGTAATATGAGTTTATGAAAAATAATAAGGACTTTCATTATTTGAGAATATGTTTTGCCATCATTCAAAATAATATTAATGAGTAAATATCTGCCAGAGAAATATATATAAAGTAAATTTATATATGAATAAAACATATAATAAATCAGTTTGTATTATATATAAACTGCCTTTCAAAAGTGTCTGTCAGTATGTCTTTATATAATACAGATGTGTTTGTGTTTGTTTTTCTTGTGTTAAGATTTATTGTCTCAAATTCTTCTTTATCAGGGACATTGCTGCTCGGAATGTTCTGGTGTCCTCAAATGATTGTGTAAAATTAGGAGACTTTGGATTATCCCGATATATGGAAGACAGTACTTATTACAAAGGTAAGAAATCAGAGCAGTAACTAAGAAATAGGTTCAGAATCTTTAATGTATTTAATATGCTCAACTGACTTTTTACAGAGATGTAAAATCACTTCAGTTGAGGCAGGATAGCCTTTTCAATAATGGTGCTGGAGCAGTTGGATATCCCTTGGCAAAAAAAAAAAAAATGAACTTTAAGGTAAACTTCACTTCATATTAACTCAAAATGGATTAGACTCAATTATAAAGCATAAAACTTGAAGGGAAAAACACAGTAAATCTTTGGAATCTAGGACGATTATGGTTATTTGGCACCAAAAACAAAGAGCCATAAAAGGGAAAAAATGATAAATTGAACCTCATCAAAATTAGAAAGTTTTGTTCTGCAAAAAACTCTGTTGAAAGGATGAAAAAGAAGCTATAGGGTAGGAGAATATGCCAATCCAAATATCCGACAAAAAACTAGTATCTAGAGAACTCTGAATATTCAATGAGGAAAAAAAGAATGCAGTTAGAAAATGGGCAAAAGATAGAAAGAGACATTTCACTGAAGAGGATACGTGGAAGACACATAAGCACATGTAGTTGTTCAACATCTTTATCTACTAGAGAAATGCAAATTAAGACCACAATGAGGTAACACTAAACACCTATCAGAACTGGTATAAAAAATAGTGATAATACCAAATGCTGGCAAAGATGCAGAGAAGCTAAGTTGCTCATAAATTGCTAGTGAGAATGTAAAATGGTAATGCCATTCTGGAAAAGAATTTGACAAATTCTTAAAAAACTAAATATGCAGATAGCATATGACCCAGCAGTTGCATTTCTATAGGCATTCCTCCCAGAGAAATGAAAACTTACATTTGCATAAAACCTGTACTAAAATGTTCATTGGAATTTTATTTGTGATAGCCCAAAAATTGGAATCAATCCAGATGTCCTTCAACCAGAAGACACAGTCATCTCACAGCAAATGCCTCAGTAAAAGGGATCTGACTTGAAAATCTCCAGTCTGCTAACTCCATCAACTTTGACCCAGTAGTTTTTTAACTGAAAGCTAGCTCATGATTTTTTTTAGTTTTGCTAATCTTAGTATCATACTGAATTAGTTCTTCATATTATTATTGAACAAATATTTTTATTAGTGTTTTCATATTTGTAGAATTTCAGCTAAGGTTTGGATTAATCCATATCATGTTATTAGTATATATACTATTATTACTACCATTTTACAGAGGCCAGTTTTTTTCTGAGTGTGCATGATTTTTGTATTGCAGCAAAATGAGCCTAGAATTTTACATATAAATCTAGTTCTTTTATACTTTATCTCATAACTATCATCTCAGAAAGGTTAGCAAGTGTAAATTCTATTAGGCTATGGGAAAGTAACCCCTAAAGGTTTAGGGATTCTTCAAAATGTTCCTCTTTCTAAGAATTCTAATAGTCTTCAGAGTCAGCTCATTGCTTACAGAAGAAAGTCCAGACCCTTGAAGGCTGGCAGAGCCCAGCTGCCCCTGTCCGAGCCCCTGTGGACCAGGCCACCTACTCCTGTGCCCTGCTCCCCACCCACTCCTTCCACTTTCATGTCCTCTCTCTGCCTTCCCTGGCCACCCTCTCAGTCATTGTTTCCTCTCCACTTCTGGGATACTTGCTTGTATTCAATATCTCCATTACACTTTGTACCAGATTTGAGTATACTTCTGTGTCTACCTTTTAGAATGAGAATTCCTTGATGAAAGGTACTGATTATTCACCTTGGGAACTCAGCAGTTTGAACAATATTTACTTAAGGTTGTGAGTTGTTTGCCTTTGTGGCACAAAGATGACTTTTTAGGCCTACAAAGAGGGCTGATTTCAGGCTTCCCTAAAGAAATAATCTTTCTCATCCTATTACTCCTTCTTGTTATCCACATGCTGATAAAGATAAGAGTTGATCTCGATTATCCATGTAGTCTGTATTTGTGCATTCACCTAGTAGCTAAAATTTGTTTCTAACCCCCCAAATCAGTACTCAATGTGCTATACAGAGTAACAAAAAGTTTGAGTCTCCCCAAAACACCCATTTCCCAGCTGAGGTCCAGCAAGGCAGTACTCTCTGTCCTGTCTCAGCCGGGTTGGGAGAGGGCAGCATAGCACAGAGCCTGCAGCTTAGGCTCCAGCCAGTTATAGGAGGATTGAATCCCAACTCAGGTTACTGTTAGTGGGGTGGCCGCAGGCAAGTTACTTAACACATTTTCTTTTTTTAATATTTTACAGCCCACATTGTTATGAATACTTAACACATTTTCTAAAGAAAAAAGAACCCACCAGAGGGAGTTATTTTAGGATTTAACATTATAATTTGTGTGAAATATGTATTATGGTTTACATATTTCTCCTAGGAACAGGAGTTCTGTGTTTGCAATGACTTTATAGACCATAACTACTACCAGTGAGAATCAACTGTCCACAACTTATTTTAGGAGAACATTTGTGGAACAAGGGTCTAACCCATAGATGAGGATCTGCTCTGCTGAATTGTGAAACTTTATGTAATGGAACTGCAAGCTGATACTTTTGGTAGTCTAGGTTTGCTCCACTTCCCCACTTTTCTATAGAGGGAAAGGCATCGTTATTTCTCTACTCCTGTCCAGCCACTCTTCACCCCCAAATGACCACAAAACATCAAGGAAATGAAAAGTAGTTCTCCCAAAGAAATGAGAGTTCCAAGGGGTCAAATGGTTGAAGCATTTTATTTCAATATTGAAAATTTCAGCTAGCTCTGTTAGATGCTTAGCAGAGAACAGGGAAAATTTATTTTCTAAAATTAATCTTCTAGCTTCCAAAGGAAAATTGCCTATTAAATGGATGGCTCCAGAGTCAATCAATTTTCGACGTTTTACCTCAGCTAGTGACGTATGGATGTTTGGTGAGTATTTCCTAAAGTTTTGTATTTTTAAAAATTTATATGTTATATATTATACAGAATAAACTTAACATTATCTCTTCAGAATATGTAGGTTGATTTACCTTCCCTAACCTGACTAGCTCCTTCATTAGACTTCTTTGGTTCACTTGACAAATAGATTTTGGCATCTCATATGCTCCAGCTTCTGGACATGGCTTCTGTAATGGTCCATTGTTCCATGCGCCGGCTCCTTCCATCACTCTTCCTTGTTGTTCCCTTTGCTGTCTCTTTCTCCCTCACAGGGAGATATCTTATCTGTTCTCTCCTTTCTCTCCTCTCTCTTTTTGCCATCTCATTCATTCCTTTAATGTAAATGACTTTAACAGTTAACATATCTGTCTGACTCTGGTGGCCTCTCGAATCCAGAGTCTTTACAATTGCATTTCATCTCTTCATTCTGGAATCTGACCACCTTCCTGACTTGTCTCAAGGCTTGGAAGTTTGATCCTTCGTCCTCTGTGGCTTTTCCTTCTTTGATGTCTGGTCTGTCCCTGCTGCCTACTCCAAGGTAGTCGTCGTCATCCTCCTCTTGCTCTGCGCTTATTGTAGTACCTCCCAGCTAGGGTAAAAGCCTGGCTTTAATTTGTCCTACACTACTTACTCAAACTACATTATCCAAATTTTAAAATTACTCTTTTTAACGTGGACGGCACTTCCCTCCACCTCACCCCTCACCTTTCCTGGCGGGTGGTGTTTCTTACCTGGAATGCCTTATCCTTACACCCTCTCCTCCAGCTGAAATCCTATCTAACCTTCAAGATCCACTGTAAATGTTCCTTCTTCCATGAAGCCTTATGTAGTAAGTATCTTGACCAGACATAAAGGCCCTTTCTCTGCATTCTCTATATTTTCTCTCTTCATCATAACACTCGTGTTGATCCTGTAAATAGTATTGTATGCAGGTTATCTTTGCTGGATTAGATACTACTTTAGAGGAGATGTTAAACTTATGTACCTTTTTTCTCCTATAAATAAAAATATATTTACCCAGTATTCTTATTTTTTTCTTCTGTTTACTTGCTGTTGATTCTTATTAACCATGTAGTACCCTAATTGATAATTAGGTAAAGGAAACAACTTTCAAGTAGAACAGGATATACATGACATGAATTAGCAAAGGCTCTGAAGTCCAGTTGATGTGATTTCGAATCTCCAGGCCTCAATTACTAGCTGTATAACCTATGGAGCAAGTTACTTATCCTTTTAAAAAATTTCATATTTCAAAGATTCTAAAATGCCTATTTTTAAACATTTTAGCATTTCTAGAACTGAAATGTATCTTAAAATCAATGGCATTTTGCAATAATAAAATAACTGGTAATAATTGGGCATTTTTTTATAGGTGCCCTTATCTGGTCTCATGTGGACTTTGCCTGTTTTGTCTGTATTGTTGTTACTTTAATGTCCAAATGAGTTTAAAAGATTTCTTTTGGTAAGAATAAAATAAAAATTCTAAGGGGTAAGAAAGTATTATGTCATAATTTAGTTATCAGCATTCTCCCTGTTTTTGTTTTTGTCGTCTAAAATATTGGTTTTTTAATAGTTAGGGGATCTGATTTTATCAGATTTAGGAAAATACAGTATTTAAAGAAAAATAAGGTTATTCTGAGAATCAAGGATAATATATCTAAATTTCAAAAGGTGCCAGGGACATATTAAGTTCTCAAGAAATGATACCTGGTATTATTACTCATAATATTGTCATAACTTCTGGTGAGAAAAATACGCATTATGTTTGTCAAACACTGTTTACTTTGAAATTCTTGGATTTTTGGCTAATTCACATTAAGATGGTAATATGCCTTCCCTCCTTTGAGGCAGATGCCATTCTAGGTACTAAAGATGTAAAAATAAAGTCACAGTTTCTCTCAAGGCACCAGTTGTACAGTATATGTTTTATGATAGAATAGATTTGAAATGACAGTAACTTTTCCCAGTGGAGTCTCAGAAAAAGTGTTATAGAGAACTACATTACAAATGTACCTCCAAAGAAGAGCGTTTGTGAGGAAGAAACAGACATTAAACATAAAGAATGTAACACAAGCAAAAAGCATGTTTGTGGCATGTTCAGAAGATGCTGGGAGCCCAGAGTGGCCCCAGTGCAGAATAGTGACTGTAACATACTAGGGGGAAACACCCACCATTGCTGCCAGCCTGTTTTCTCTGTTTCCTTTTCATTGCATTATATGGTCATGATTGTTAGTTTTAGGGGATTTTGTTTTAAAGGTGAATTCTTAAGGATTATTTAGAAGATATTGAGAAAGTGTTTGATTTCCCAAGGGTTGAATGCAAGTGAATTTTTTAGGTCACGTTGTGGCATTTGTGGAAAAGATAGCTGCAGCCCAGAGAAGTCCACAACTTTCCTGTGGCATATCAGTGACTGATTCGTGGATAAACCAGATAATAATGCCGTTACGCACCCTAGGCAAGGGCGAGTCAACCTTGTTAAGAGAGACATTTTAAGGAAACTGAGTTTTCTAAAAGCCTAAGACTTAAACTTTAGGATTTTCTTTATTAGGCCTCAGGTCAGCTGCTGTAATTATAAATAGGTCGGAGTGAAGACAGGAGGGGGGGATCTAAAATTCATTTAGCTTTTTTTTTTCTTTTTTTTTGAGACATGGTCTCACTCTGTCACCCAGGCTGGTGTGCTCACAGCTTACTGCAACCTGCAACTCCTGGGCTCGAGATCCTCCTGCCTCAGCCTCCTGAGTAGCTGAGACTACAGGTGTGCGCCACCATGCCCAGCTAATTTTTCTATTTTTGGTAGAAATGAAGTCTCTCTATGTTGTTCAGGCTGGTCTCGAACTTCTGACCTCAAGCAATCTTCCTGTCTGGGCCTCCCAAAGGATTACAGATGTGAGCCACTGCGCCTGACACATTCAGTTTATTTTGAACTGGTTCATTATGCCTTGAAGTATCACTGTAGCTGGTGGGCCATTTTCTAATGTAGGATTTTCAGAGAAATAAACCTCTGAGAAAAATTATGACTTTTTCCTCAACTGTAATTCAACATTTCATTTTTCACATTAAATCATTATTGCTGTCCTTCTTTTATAATAGAATTAATTCAGTGCTGCTTTGCTTAGATGATTTGCCCAAAATTTCACAGCTGGTACTCTAGTGCCAACTGTAACATTATTCCTGAAACCTTGGAATTACGCTTTCAATGCTGAGTTTGTTGTTATGTTTCATTTCTACTTCACAGGTGTATGTATGTGGGAGATACTGATGCATGGTGTGAAGCCTTTTCAAGGAGTGAAGAACAATGATGTGATCGGTCGAATTGAAAATGGGGAAAGATTACCGATGCCTCCAAATTGTCCTCCTACCCTCTACAGCCTTATGACGAAATGCTGGGCTTATGACCCCAGCAGGCGGCCCAGGTTTACTGAACTTAAAGCACAGCTCAGGTAGGAGTGCGGGTAGAGAGGGCTGGGGTTGGGGGCATATTATGCTGCTTCTCCTTGCAGTTGTAGCATCTTAAGGTCATTTTATCAGTATGTCTAAGGCTGAACTATTTTTTGTTTAATTTTAAAGTTGATTTGCATTTCTTTGTGCCTTGCTAGAGTCGTAAGTAAATTATACCTTAATAAAATTCTGATTATGATCAAATCTCTCTCCCCTAGCTTCTGACTGAGCATGGTTTATGAGCCCCATTCTCATCTCACACAGCCCCTTTATCTCCCTGACACTTCATGCTCCAGCAATACCTAACTACTTATAATTCTCCTCACATACTCACTATGCTATTTTCTTTCCCTGAAATGCCTTTCCCCGATTTTGCCAACTGGTAAACTCCTGTTCAGTTTTCAGAAGCCAGTTCAGATGTTAACCTCCTTCAGAAAACCTTCCTAATCAGCCGACCTCCAAAGAGATAGCCACTCTTTTGGCACCTTTTGAATACTTTGTTATTATATTTAAAACATTCATTGCTTGTTTAAGTGTGGCTCCTGCTTTGTGCCAGTCACTGTTAGACCCCCAAACCTCTCCTGGAGGGAGCACACAGGACCCTTTAGTGTCCTGAATCCCTCTGAGAAGTGTGCATGGTCAGCCCTGTCACCTGGCCTGGAGAGGGTCTTGTTTGCTTGTCTGTGTCACTGGCTAGACTCAGAGCTCTTGCTCAGCATCACTGTCTTGCTCATTTCTGTAGTCCCAGTGCCAAGCTCAGGACCTGGCACCATGTAAGTGCTCAATAAACATTTGTTGAATTGAATTGAATTGAGGGTTCAGAGTGAAACTTAGTATTTTAATAAACAAGATATTATAATACACAGGCATGAGGAGGTTAATTATGTAAACAGCAACATGGCTCAATGTGTGCTGTATCACGTGTTTTCACATTTAGGGACTTCTTTTATTTTCACTTGATATATTTTAGTTTTTTTCATCAAACTCACCAAATACCAGGATTGAAAAGACCCTGAAAACCCATCTGGCCTAACCTTCTCACCACATCTTTAGGCCGCTCAACCTGCTAGACAAGATTCCTTACAAGGAGAGTATTTCCAGGAAGAATAAAGACTCCTCATATGGAAGATTCATTTAGTCTGCAGATGCTTGCTAAGCACCTTCAGTGTCCTAAGCTGGGTTCTGTAGGTTCAACAGTAAATAGCACAATCCCTGCCTCCAGAGAGTTTAAAGTCTGGTGGCAGAGACACAGGCATCTACTGTTATTTACCATACAGTGAGTACCACACTCTGAAAGACCAGCCACACTTGTTGGTCCCAGTAACTCTACCTGGCTCCACTTTCTAAGAGCCTGTAAAACAACTATACTCTGCCTTTCACATGGCCTTCAGGCATTTCTAGACGGCTTCCTTATCTCCTCTCAGTTTTCTTCAAGCTAAAAACCTACAGTTTCTTAATTTCTCATATAATTTAATTACGTATTTTTTCACTATGACAGCGGGTTTTGAACATGCTTTATTTCACATTTTGCTCATAAATTTTTTCCTCCTTGATCTTTCAGAATTTGACAGATCCTGTCCTTAAAATTATTCCCCTTTCTGATACCAGTTCTGTTACACTGCCTCCCTGACATCTCTTTCACCTCACTGACTTGCTGTTTCTCTACCATTACTGGGAATGTTAACCAAATTTCTGTTCTTACCCTCTTTTTTTCTCTTCCTGTTCTCTCAGTACCTTTCCTGGATTGTCTGACCTATTCACGTGGCTTTGCTTCTCACCACTATCATTTGCTTTGGTCCTGTCCTTTTCTCACAAGTCCTAAACCTACATTTTCAGTTTCTAGCTGGGCATCATGTTTATCCAAAACACAAACTGTTAAGCCAGCTCTTCCCCTCACATCCTGCAGGTTAGAATGGCACCTTTATCTTCATTACCATCTGGAAGTCATGCATCATTCCTTTCCCTCCTCTGCCCAGGCTCCTCTCCCATCTGTTTGGCATAACTGGCTTAGTCAATCTTCCTGAAACATCACTATGGAAAAATAACTCCCTTGCTCAAAACAACTTTCAATAGGTTCCTGTCACCTCTTATATCTGGGTAAAGACTTCTAGGGTAGCATTTAGGCCTCCTTCTAATATAGGATGAGAGTGTCTTCCCAACCCTTTCACACACTTTGGCCAGACCAACCCCCTCTTGGCCTAGGATGTTTACTGCTCCATCTGGGAGATCCTGCCCATCTTTCTTGACTTCTTTCATGCACTGGCCTTTCTGGGATTTCACAGCTGACTAGCTCCACCCTCTGTCTTCAGAGCTCTTTGCTCTTGTCAGGCTTAGCCTACGCTGCCACATGCAGCTGCAGCCCATGTTCAATTCAGTTTGACAAACACTGTTGAGCACCTCCAGTAGCTGAGCCTAGTGCTAGTCACTGGGGCAAAGATGACTAAAACACTTTTCCTGCCCTCGAGGAGCTCACAGTCTAGTATGTCTTATCCCCTACTAGACTGAGGCTCCTTGAGGACAGGGATAGTCATACTCACCTCGGGGCTACCCGCACCTCCAGGCCAGGAGCCTAGATTCATAGCTTAGGGCATGTGAGCTAGTCTTTACGTTAATTTAAGGAAGTCTTCCTTTGGTAAATTAGCTCCAAAAACTATCCAAGATGTATTTTTAAAACTACATATAATTACTTTTAAAATTTACCTATACTATAATTGATGGGTATTTTCTTGTACACAATTAGCACAGGTAATTGAGCATTCATTTATTCTATATTCTGTTTCAGTCAAAAATGGAGTTTAACTTTGCATTTTGAACATTTATAAGATGGCTACCAAATAGGCCAATAAAATGTAGCTTTATGATATAATAACTTGCTTGGACATTTACATTTAACAATATATCACAATAATAAACTTTTCAAAAGTTTTTCAAAATTTCTTTTATATCAAGCATTTTAACAAAGAAATAATAAACTTTGGATAAGCCATTACCTGCACCATGGTATTTAAAAGTATTTCCCAAATCTCATTCTACTTCTCTACCTTAAAAGAAAATTCTGCAAGTAGGCTCAGATTACTGTGGGAGTCCACTCATCTTTAACTGGACTGTATATTCATTTTTACTATATTAGTTGAGACAAATGACTTTCAGCATGAAGCTAATTAGGCAAAGTCATAGGAAAATTACTTTGGTTATACTTTCATGAAGTGATCTCTGACTCATGGAACCTGTCCTCCTTACATCCTGTTTCCTTATTCGTAAGTGTGAACTCATTGAGAAGCAGAATGATATTAACCTATAGGTAGCCTATTATCAAGTGTAAAAAATTCCTCAGTAGGAATACTTTTAAGCATTCAACAGTGAAAATTTCTCGTAATAAGTACTCTAGCATTTTTTGTGCGCTGTGCCTGGCAGGTTATAAGAATACACTAAATAGTTTTTGAGTGAAAAATCATTTAATCCCTGGTTAATTCAGTTAATTGTTTGTTAGGTACTATGCCAGGGAAACCATAATAAACAGCTTTAGTATTTGCCCTTTTGGAGCTTATGTTCAAAAATAGTATGTCACGGCTGGGCGCGGTGGCTCACGCCTGTAATCCTAGCACTCTGGGAGGCCATGGCGGGTGGATTGCTCAAGGTCAGGAGTTTGAAACCAGCCTGAGCAAGAGCGATACCCCATCTCTACTATCAATAGAAAGAAATTAATTGGCCAACTAATATATATAGAAAAAATGAGCCGGTCATGGTGGCACATGCCTGTAGTCCCAGCTACTCGGGAGGCTGAGGCAGGAGGATCGCCTGAGCCCAGGAGTTTGAGGTTGCTGTGAGCTAGGCTGACGCCACGGCACTCACTCTAGCCTGAGCAACAGATGAGACTCTGTCTCAAAAAAAAAAAAAAAAAAATAGTATGTCCCCACAGTACTCTCCTTTGACTAAGGTATTTATACCGCTGTTTTAAAAAAGAACACCAGTTTTATCTCAGATTAGAGAAATGTTTTAAGTTAATGTTAAATTTCTTAAATACTGTCTTAGACAAAAGCAAAAAACAAAATTATCAATTTAAAGTTTGTGCCCATGATTTTTGTATATTTTTATTGAAGTGTAATAAGCACTCCAAGAGGTGAACAGCTCAGTGAATTTTCACAAATTGGACACAGCATGTAACCAGCATCCAAAAGAAGAAAATAACACTATCAGCATCTCAGAAATCTGCCACAAACCCCTTTCCAGTCATTGTTCACCCACCATGGATAGCCACTGTCCTGACCATAGATTGATTCTGCCTGTTTTTGAATTTTATATAAATGATACTGTTCAGTATATACTTTTTATATATGATGCATTTTGCTCAACATTTGGTTTATGAGATAATCCATATTATTCATGTAGTTGTACTTCATTGTCATTAGTGTATATTGTTCCATTTGTGAATATACCATAGTGTTTCTTCATTCTACTGTTGGTGGAAATTTGGGTACTTTCCAATTTGGAGCTGTCAAGAATATTGCTTTGTTGAAGTACAGGATATAGTAAGTGGTATGTAAACAAATTTACCTGGACCTTTATGTTCTAAAGAACACTGATCTTTTTTTTTTTTTTTCTTGGCATATTAGAACACTGATCTTATATCACCTTGGAAGGCAACCCTTGATTTTGAGTTGATCTTCCATCACTGAGTTCTTTAAGAATATCTTTAGAACCAGTACCGTGTTCATTGACAGCAAATCTCCATCCTCTATAGTTAGCTGTTTTAGTTATACCATTAAAATAACTAACAGTTATTGAGTACTTTCTGTTGCCAGGCATTGTGCCATGAACTATCCTACCTTAATCCTCACAGTCATTGGAGATGTAGGTAGTATCTTCATCATCAGTTTATAACTGAGGAGACTGAAACTATGTGTAATGCCCCTGACCTAAGAGTGTGAGCAAGAATTCAAGACAAGTTCACCCGAGTCCAGAGCTCAAGCTGTGAGCTGTCACATTCTACTGCCTTGATATT